GGGGGGGGGTACAAAATGGGACTTGCCTGCAGCCCTCGGGGGGGGGGGATAGACCGCCCCCCCACACACACATACAACCACCTGGCATTAAACAAGCATCTAGCTAAGCCAGTTGCTGACCAGGGGAATTGGAGTCCATGCTGGGAAGAGCTAAATGGAAATAATTATCATCAACGCCAGCAGTCTAAGTCGATCTCCCCAGAACTGGCCGACGCCACGTCGCTCTTTGCCCCTACGAAAAGGCTCATGAGCTACTAGGGGTGGGGTGGGGAAAACCCACACACGCACCCCACCAAAAAAGAGAGACGGGACAATGGAACACTGCAGCCTCCTGTAGGAGAAGCAAGGGGGAAACCCGTTGAAGGAGACAGAATTCCTTGCTCCAGGCCGGGGCCGGGGATCCTCCCATCAAAGTGGGCTCTGCTTTTGACCTGTCGTGTCAAACTAGGCTGACGCCCACTCTTTCTGATGCTGGAGTTGTGCACTGATTGGGGTGGGGCTATGCGCCTTCCCAGCTGGCAAGAGGGGGGCACGTGGGCCTTAAGAGGGATGCCAGACGGACGAGCACCGCTCAGTCTTCACCCGGGAGCTGCAGGGCCGAGTAGACCATGACGGAATCGCCCTCCTTCCTTTTGCCTGCGACGAAAACAGAGAGAAAGGAGCTCAGGTTTTTGCGTGAAGAGGCCGGTTTTGCATCACCGATAGGGGGGCAGCGCCCGGTGGGTGTGACGCTCCACTCCCCCTCAAACCACTGCGAGAGATGCGGGGTCTCATCCCCATCTTCTGAGTGCAGGGACCACTCTGGGGGAGATGCAGCCACAAGGGTGGTGGTGAAACCCCATGCTCATCGTAAGAACAGAGAAGAGAAGCCCATGTTGGATCAGGCCAGTGGCCCATCCAGTCCAACACTCTGTATCACACAGTGGCCAGAAATACCAGTGCCATCAGGAGGCACGGCAGTGGGTCCAGGAAACCAGAAGCCCTCCCACTGTGACCCCCCCAAGCACCAAGAAGATTCTAAAGGACTCTGAATTTTCCGTTATTGTTAGAAGAAGAGGGGTTGGGATTGTACCCCGCCCTTCGTTCTGAGTCTCAACAGCAGCTTACAATCGCCTTCCCTTCCGCTCCCCACAACAGATACCCCATGAGGTAGGGCTAAGAGAGCTTTTCCGAGCTCTTGAGAGAACAGCTCTGAGAGAACTGTGACGGGCCCAAGGTCACCCAGCTGGCTGCATGAGGAAGAAGAAGAGATGGGATTTATACCCCATGGCCCTTCACTACCCAAAGGTGTCTCAGAGCAGCTCGCAAACTCCTTCCCCTCCCCCTCCCCACAACAGGCACCCTGTGAGGTAGGCGGGGCTGAGAAGAAGAAGAAGAAGAAGAAGAAGAAGAGGAGGAGGAGGAGGAGGAGGAGGAGGAGATTGGATTTATCCCCCGCCCTTCACAACCCAAAGGTGTCTCAGAGCGGCTTACAGTCTCCTTTCCCTCCCCCTCCCCACAACAGACACCCTGTGAGGGAGGTGGGGCTGAGAGAGCTCTTGACAGAAACGGCTCTTTTTCAAGGACAGCTCTGACAGAGCTTGTAACTGACCTTGTGCAAGTGGAGGAGTGGGGAATCAAACCCGGTTCTCCCAGATTAGAAGAAGAAGAGGAAGAGATTGGATCTATAATCCGCCCTTCACTACCCAAAGCTGTCTCAGAGCGGCTGACAAACGCCTTGCCCTGCCCCTCCCCACAACAGACACCCAGTGAGGTCGGTGGGGCTGAGAGAGCTCTTTCGAGGACGAAGAAGAAGAAGAAGAAGAAGAAGAAGAAGAAGAAGAAGAAGAAGGAGGAGGAGGAGGAGGAGAAGGAGGAGGAGGAGAATGAGGCGGC